TTATATTGGTTAATCTGGTTAACCAATTAACCAAACCGATTAAACTTTAGTTTGGTTAATTTGGTTGTTGTATTAGTTTGGACGGTTTGGTTATGATATTGTATTCCATGGTTAATGAAATTTAGCCTTATTTGGTTTGGTAATAACCATGGTAACCATTTGAACACCCCTAATTCAGAAGGCATATGATGGTATCATTCATGTTGTGGTAGGGCAACATGCGTAGCCTAAGAGTGATGGTTATCCAGTTCACTCTCCCATCCCATGTATAAGAAAATATCGGGTCACCCAAAAAAGAAAAGAAGAAAGGAGGCAGGGGAATTGGATATGAGAATGAACGAGAATGGAAGGCCTACTGGTACATCAGCCAAAATGGTGGGAATGGTGACTCACTGAACCAAATGTGGGGCTGATGGGCACAATGGTAGAAAATGCCCCAAAACTCGTGTAATGTTTGACCACGGGAGTGATTCCACACGAGGCAGAGGGACGGGTTCCACAAGAGGGAGAGGGAGAGGACTACGTGGGAGAGGGCAACAACATGGAGGCTCAAACCTACCTAAGGTACAATATTGTTCCTCAATAAACCAATCTTCTCCTTCTTTACTTTTCACTTATTTGCTTCTTTAATTTCAACAGAGGGTTCAACATTGTTTTATATGCCAGTCCACAACCTATAATGCTAGGAGTTGTCCAGGAAATATAAGCGAACAAGTAAGCATGTTTGATTTCAGTTTATCCCTCTATACTCACCTTGTTAAAATGCATTATCATCACTTCATACTTGTGTTGATTGGTGTAGGATGTAGAAGGTCAGCATCGGCACATGAATTTGGTTTTAGATAGAGAAGTGAGGGAGGCTCTTGGTCGAGAACCTATATGTACTGATAACTCCTAAATTGGTGTTATTTATCTCTCATATCTAGGATCATTTTGAGTCATTTTATGTGCATAATGATTGATACATTGTCAAATATAGCCGTATTTCATTCCTCAAAGATTAAATTGTTATATTAGGGTGTATTAGGCAATATATGTGAGTTAGGTACCAAAAGGATACAAGTGTAGCAAAAATGGGGCAAAAGTTGAAGATCCCAGTCTAGACAAGGAAGATCACGGTCGAGAAAGGAGCACGCGAAGTGAGAGCAAAGATCGCGGCTTGTAGAGCGAAGATCACGATAGCGATGTTGGAGGCTCTAGTCCTGAACTTCAGGAGGAGCCAGCCTAGGAGAAGTAGAGAGTTTAGCTAGTCGAATCGCAGCCCTCGACTTCCCAGTCCGCTAGAAAGATCGCGACGGTGAAGTCGGTCCACGATTTCCCCCTTGGACGAAGAACAAAACGACAACGCTTAAGATCGCGGCCTCCCTGCTCAAGCTCGCGCCCGCGAACTTTCCCAGCATGACAGCGAACTTGTCTGATACCTAAAATTCTATAAATAAGGGATGCTTTCCCCCATTCAAGAGAGTTGTTTTTTATTGAAATTTCTAGTTCTTTGGGAGAGAGAGAGAGAGAAGCTGAAGGAAGAAAAACAAGAGAAGGAGGAGCTAGAAGGAATGAGCCAACTCCCCCATCAATTATTCTTAATTTTCTTCATTGTTTCTTCTTCCCTCCTTTATGGAGTAGTCCTCTAAGGTACTAGGGGTTAAAATCACCAAAACCTAGATTAAGTTTATAATGTAGATGTATGAACTATGTTAGGGTTTATGAATGGATACGTTTGTCTAGTGATTTTATTGCATCATTTATGCTTGGTTATACTTGGTTAAGTCACCCTACTCTTCACTATTAGCCTGCAACTTAGTCAACGCTAGGCCGGAGTTTTAGGGTTAGACTAGGTAGCGCCAACTGGTAGATTAACGGTATATGAATGGTCTTAGAGTCTTGTAGTGGACGAGTCGACCATACTCCTGCTACAACAACGCCTTCCTAGACAAAGCTTTAGGGGAACGCAAGCGTGTATCGATCCGTCTCTTTTGTGTGCACGATACGTAGAACCTATTGAAATGAGCTAAATTTGTAATGTCACAGATATGTGAGCCTTGACCGAGGTGATAATGGGTCTTGGGAGGACGCACTAGGAGGCGTGGGATAACGATAAAGGCCCACAAGATTAGAGAGCTCACGCACCATATCGATAAACCCAACATAGTTAGTCATTTGCATGTTAGACCTAAGATAGAGAGAGGGAGTTACCCGGAAGTACTTTCTTTTATCTCTATTTCTTCCTCTACTAGTAGTTCAATTAAAACCTCCAAAACAAACCCAAAAATTGACCGATTTGATAACAATAGAGCAGGAAGTAAGCTAGGGTACCGAAACTCGTGGAATACGACATTGGTCACCACTATATATCAACGTCATCGCGAGTTAAATTTTCCTCATAATGGTTACTTATTTAGACCGTGCAAACACCTGACAATGACTCGTACGAGGACGATCATATATCAATCTTTAAGTACTTGCTGGTACGTCTACGGTAGGATTGGGATCCCAACCAACTGAGGTTGATGTCACTCAAGGGCCTTCTACTCAACCACCATCTCAGTCGCAGGAATAATATATATGTAATTGGTAGATAACTTAGGTAGCACAGTTTGATAGTAGGGCATGAGATGATAAAACTGAATGAGCTTTTGTGGTGACTTGTCACCCTCTTTTGTATTTTGTAAAAGCTTGATTCATCTTGCAACATCTGCCACAGTGTCACCACATTAGTTGTGAATTGATATATAACTTAGGTAGCACAGTGTGTTAGTTGGGAATTAGATGATCGAACTAAATGAGCTTTTGTGGTGACTTAGTTCACCCTATTTTGTATTTTGTAAAAGCTTGATTCATCTTGTACCCTTTTTCACCAATTTAGACGTGAATTGGTCAATTCAGCTGTGAATGGTACAATGGAACTCTTATCAATGACAGGGGTAGTGTCTAACTGGGAATGATCAATTACATAGGTACATAACAAGGGTTACATTAGTAGAGAATGGTCCCTTTTGGTACATAACAGATAATACATTAGTTGTCAAATGCAGTAAACTTTCATAATAGGTAATAGATTCTGCACACAACAATCAAAATCCCTGAAATCTACAAAATGCAGCAAAAGCCATGACACAAATTACAGAGAACATAAAGCTTCTTATCTTACTGTCAAGACTAGAAATCACATTGCTCAATCAGCTCAACTCAGATATCATCCTTGCATGATATTCTATGTTTTAATTTAATCTTCTAACAACTTCCTACTATTCATTTCTTCCCATTCAATAATTTTTGCTAGTTCTACAAAAAAAAAAAGTTTTGCTAACAAGTCACCCTATGATCCCATTCCTTATCCACATTTCATATACATCCACCCATATGAAGAACCTGCAGTCTTCGGTCTACAAAATCAAAAGTTAGTAATGGCAATGACAATGACAATTTGGAATTTAGGTCAACGAACAACAAAAGTAACCAAACTACATTACCTTTCAATATGGGCAACAATAAAACTGCCTTCCTGGATTCCTAGAGGTACCAGACTTGTTCACATGCACAGAACTTTGTGGTCGCACCGAGACACTAAATCGTTATTTGTGTTGGTAGAGCTAGCAGAGCCCTTCCTAGCATACATGATTCTTTTTGCTATCAATGAAAACAGAGGAAACAATCAATTCCAACATCCACATCATATTTCAGAGCACCCGTCAAACCTCTGTGTCGAAGGGTTACTACACCTTACCTTACGTGAGACGGATGTCGCAGGGAAGAGACCAACTGTGGTGAGGCTTCGAACGGCAGCGAGGAAGCTTCGAACATCGACGATGGAGGCAGAGACTTGTTTCTCTCTCTACACGAGGGTTTCCAACAAACCCTATTTGAGCTCCTTTTTGAGTTTTCAAACGAAGAGTGGGGAAGTATAACCCTATTAGTACAATAAATAAATAAATAAAATCATAATAATAAAATACATTGAGTAATTAATTTCTGACGTAGACACTTATGTAGAGCTTCATTACGAAATAATTATCAGTAACAAAACGTTTAGTTAACAAATAGTATTTCAATAGATTTGGCTAAACTAAAAGAATCAAACTAAAGATAGGCTAATAAATATTAAAAAATCTGACCATCTCTTAAGGAGACATACTACTTTGCTTGCTTGCTTTGTGGTTTCTTTGATTCCAATTTTTTCCATCTATAGTCCTGGAAAGCTTGGAAGGTGGATCCTTGCTCACGGAGCCGAACCATACTCTTATTAATTCTTAAAGTCCTGATTCCGAAGGTGGAATCTCCACTGTCACCAAAGGAATATCAACCTTTTAAGTTTGTGTAATGTATTATATAGATTGGTGGCACAAAAATTAGCTAACCGTCGAAAGCCACTACTTCATTTTGTAATCTCGCCTGAGCAAAGTAGTATATTTGTTCCAAGCCGGCTTATAATGGACAATATCATGTCAGGTTTCGAATGCTTTCACTATTGAAAAAAAAAAAAAGAGAGAGAGACGGAATTGAATACTTTGCAGCAAAGAAAGAGCAGAGTGGCATTGCATTTTCTGGATGCAGTAATGGGGCGAATGGGGTTCAAAGAGAGGTGGATTAAGTTGATCATAAATCAAGTTAAAAGCTTCAGTCGATTGAGTTGAATGGATTCGTTTGGCGCACCAAATTTTCGCCTGACATATTAGATTTCCTCTGCCACCCAAAATGTATCTCCAGAACCTCCTGATGTCTACAAGATCAGCTGTATCTGGCGCGCGAAGAACAAACACATCACAGTCTCACAGAACAAGTCCAGACAAGCTCAAGAGCCACCTCTAATTTTTTGAAGGTAAACTACAAAGAAGCAAGAAAAGAGCCAATCCATTGCATCAGATCCCAAATCCTCACTCTTACACAAAATATACACACATGGAAAAGTAAAGAGAGAAAAAAAAAGAGGAGGCATAAAGTTGGAGCAGGGGGGGAGAAGTGAAAACAGAAAACCCCTTGCTTTTGCTTGATCGATGGATGAATCAGGCACAGGCACAAGAAGTCTCGTCCGCCACCAACACGCTCTCATCATCAACACCCCTAAACAACAAATACCCGATCCCCAACCCAACCACCACGGCCACAAACACCCCGCCGTTGAACGACATCACCGCCAGCATCAGCATGTACCCGATCGCCGAATTCAGCCCGAACAGCGCCGCCCCGACCACCCTCGCCGCCGACCACTTCCCCGACGAGCCGAATTTCCGCTGGATCAAGGGTACATCGGCGCCCGATTCAACTCCTCCTCCGCCGGCGCCCTTCCCCGCCGATCCCGCAGCGGCCGCGATCTTGACGCGCATGCGGTGGTTCTCGAGGTACTGGTAAAAGGCGGCGGCGAGGAGGCAGGCGACGAGGGAGAGGGAGTAGTCGACCCAGGACTTTGTGCGCCAGGAGTCGAAGAGGATTGTTACCTCCCGCCCCCAGTAGAAAGTCATGTGCATCATCTTTGCGAGTCGCAGGCGAGCGAGCGGAGGGAAGAGAGGATTGATTGACTGATTACGGCAGACCCAAGGGAGGCGTAAGCGTTTGTTTGGTGGGAAGAGGAGGCGGAGGAGGAAGGTATTTCAGGGAAGGGGGGTTTTCGTCATTTCTTAGGAGTTGGTTGCGGGTGGGAGTAGTACAAGAAATTGCGGGAGGGAGAGTACAGAGTACTCCGCCTGCGTTTTGACGTGTACGTTAAACACTTTTGCGAGAGGATGGAGGTTTTGATTGGATAGCCTTCTTTTTGGCCTTTGGAAACATCGCTTTCACACACCATACTCAGACTAATACAACTGTTAGAAAGAATGCTTAGGTGTCAAAACAAAATTCGATATGAGTGATCGGTCCGATGTACTGAAAGGACCGTTCTTTTTAGTTGTTTTAGGGATTGATCTTTGGCACCCGCAGTTACTCGTAACGAATAAGGATTGAGAGAAAGAATTAGAGATTTAGATGAGAAGAATATAATAGAATAGAATCAAGAATCGGTCGATGCCTCGGATTAGGAGAGAATAGAAATTAGGAGTTGAGAGAGATTAGGTTTAGGAGGGATACTTTGCTTAATACTTTTCTTAATTGATTATGACGTAAACCCGGGTTACATATTTATAGGGAAAATACGACTATACGAGAAAACCCTAAAAGATAACCTAATTCAACTAAACCTCTACTAACCTTAATAATAATTATCCTACTTAAAAAAAATAAAGAAACCTCACTATGGTGGGTTTCTACATACAGTTGATCTGCAACTCGATCACAATATGAATTGACTAAAAGTCAATGACCCACGACAGGGTCCGGTCCACAACACGATTGATCTGCAATCCGGCTAATTCGTTATTCGACTGGACGAACCGAACTCGATTGACACGCAGCTAGATTAAACTCGTAACCCTACTAACATGTGACCCGCCCGATTGAGATGAATTATTACTATATTATATAATATGTTCTTTCAAAATGAAGTTTTTTTGTTCTAAACCTAAGTAAAATCATTTTTCATTTTGTAAAGGAAAGTTCAAAAATAAGAAATTCACTTAAAATTATATATTTTTAATAAAATTACAAAAATGTAAACATGAAATTCACGTGAATATTAAGTTCTTTAACAAAATTAAAAGAAAAAGTGAATATAAAATACATAATCAGCATAATGCTAATACTGAATAATTAATAATTGAGAAAATGTATAACATCAATATAGTAAATAGAGTATAGTAGTTTATTTGGTAATTTCACTAATTAACAAAGTTATCAATTAAGTATAAATAGAGTATAGTAGTTTATTTGGTAATTTGATTATTTTTTAAGAAATAAGATATTTTAGTGTTTTCAACTTTTTGAAAAGAAAAAGAAAAGGGAAATTTGGTGCTTCAATTTTTAGGAAAAAAGGAAACTTTGATGCCTTTTGGTTTATAGGAAGAGAAAAAGTGAGAAACTTTGGTGTGTTTGATTTATGAAAAAATAAATAAGAGAAAGTTTTGTAATTTCAACTTTTTGGAAGAGAAATAAGAGGGAAAGTTGAATGCTTTATGGGAAGAGAAAGAATGAGAGAAATTTTGGTGTTTTCAATTTTTTGTGAAATGAAAGAAGAATTTTTTGTTGTTGTTGTTTTAACCTTTCAAATATGAATCGTGAATTTTTATGAGGAAGACATTACTAGTTCACTATATTATAGCCTTATATAGAATGACTATTTGACTATATAAGATTTGAGAACCTATCACGAGTTATTTCATCTTCAATATAATATCGCTCGAACTATCTCAAATGCAGGTTATTTTACATTGTATATCATATACTTAATAACTTATCAATTTGATTATCATAATATTTACATAGGATGGTTTATGAGGTTAACATTTAGTGACTAAATAGTGTCTATAGTTAACCTTATTATAGTTTTAGGGATTTCCTACGGTAACTTGAGTTTTTTTACATGCTATAGCAGATTTCATAGGTCGCATTATGTAAAATACAATAGTCATTATATAATGCTTACGTAACATATGGTAATCTTAAGTAACATTTGTAAAAGATCATTACGGAAGCCTTACGTAATAGAATGTGTCTTTACGTAATGAGTATTAACCTCTCGTTACGTAAAATGTTAAGTCATTACGAAATCCTTACGTAACGCTACTGATTTAACTGTTACGTAAGAAATAAATGTCGTTCGGTAACATTTACGTAATAGAAGGACTTTTTACATAATGAGTATTAACTTGGTGTTGCGTAAAGTGCTAAGTCATTATGAAAGTCTTACGTAACGCTTTCGATTTATATGTTACGTAAGAAATAACTATCATTCTGTAATGAATGTGTATTTTACGTAACAGTGGTAAACTGTCATTACGAAAGCCTTACGTAATGGAAGGTAAGGGCAAAAATTGATTAACCCTAATTACGTAAGGCTTTCGTAATGACAGTTTACCCTAATTCGGGCCAAAAGGTATTAACCCTAATTAATAATACAAGCAAGAGTTATTTCTAAAAAAACAGACATAGAAAAATAAGTGAAAAAATCAATGGCAACAAGCAAATCGCTCGCAAGTCCACCGACAGCAAGACCCGGAACCATCGCCCTCCGTGAGATCCGAAAGTACCAGAAGAGTTTAATGTGGGATGGAGTGTTGGCAATACAAAGATCGAAACCCCGAGTTCAGCACAGTGAGAGGGGGATTTTGTTTATTTTATTAAACAATTATTTTATTAATTTATATTATCTACATGGCATCCACGCATGTTGACCGTCTAATTTGATGGAAATTCACGCGTCCGGCTAAACTAGTCTATATAGTGTATAGTTGAGGCCAATATATTAATTTCTAAAACCATGGGCGAAAATTGATTATTGGGGTATAGTTTGAGCTAAATAAGTTATTAACCCTATTAATTAATAATGTTTAGACATAGTGACTCTTCTCTAAGAAGAGAAAGTAAAAAACTGGTGGTCTATCGACCCAACATTCATCTTCTTCCCAATTGCAAGCAATGAGCCATACAATGTGCTAATCTGTTTTGGGCCCTCGGAATGTAGATCCATTCAATTATGTTGAAGACCCGGCCCATCTCTTGAATTTCATTTGTTATATGGCCCACCTCAAGATTGGGCACAGCCTGGCCCCGAGATCAACCTCTTAACTCGTTGGCAATTCGTCTGAAGTGCTATGGAATGCAACTGAAGAAGGGTTGTCATTTCCAAGCCAAACATCACCGCCATGGCCTCCACCTCCGGTGCTTCCCACTGTCGTCGGATTCTTCTCACTGCCACTGCTACAAAACCACCATCCTTTCTTCTAATACCACCCTCATCCCATTCCCTTGTTCTGGTAAGCAGCTCGCATCCACCTAGATCGTATACTTTGCCGATTGAGAAGGTTGCCAATTTGCCTCATTTCTGCGATTCGACTCTACTGACCTCTCATGCATTTCCGGGTACTCATGCAAACAATCCCTCGCTCGTGAAATAATTTCCATTATTCCAATTTTTGCTTATTCCACAACTGGTTGTTTCTATGTTCCCAGATGAACCAAAGGGAAACCATGAACTTCCCCAGATGTTCATCATTTTCCGTCTCCTGCAAGCTGCAATACCACTCCTCACAAGTAAGGTCCCCCCCCCCCCCTTCTCGAATAGTAGACGCATGTCAGTAGGCCAAGTCACCCTCCGAACCCACACACAATCTTGGAATATATGTTTTTGATTCTGTAGTAGGTCACAGAAGGGGCACCCCACATGACCTCATTGTGTCCTCTCATAGATTTTAACACCCGTAGGAAAGATATCCCTAATTCATCTCCACGCAAAAAAACCTTACTTTGAGAGGTATATTAAGCTTCCATAACCGCTCCCAATTGACTGGTGTGTATAACTCCCCTAGCATCTCCTCATCCTTGTTCTTCCAGAGTCTATATGCAGACTTCACAGAATAGTCCCTGAATTTTTAAGACTCCAAACCCTCTCATCCCTACAAGGTTGGCGTGGGATCTTTAGAATCTGTTTCCGGTCTTCAGGGTTAAAGAATGCCTGCAATAGATCCGATCTCCATGTTCTGGTTTCTAGTTCCATTAGTTCTGCTACCGAAGTAGTATTCCCAATTCTTGATAATGGGGATGTCACTTTTAAACCTTCACTATTTGGAATCCAGCGGTCTTGCCAAATATCAATACTGTCTCCATTTCCCACTCTCCATCGATATCCCTTCTTGATTAGGTATTTTGCTTCCATCAAACCTTTCCACACAAAACTGGAGTTCCATCCTCTTTCTTCTTCCAACACATCCCGTTGAGGGTAGTACTTTGCTTCCAGAACACGGGATTCCAGGGAGTTTGGTTCCTTCATTAACCTCCATAATTGTTTCCCAAGTAGAGCCATGTTAAAACACTTAGGGTATCCAAAACCCAAACCCCCTGCTTCTTTGGTCTACTTACTTTTTTGCACTGCAACCAATGGGTCCATTTTTCATCCTGCTGTTGCCCCCACCAGAGGTTGGTGCTTAGCTTTTGAATCTCTTGTAAAACCCCAATAGGAATCGAGAAAATTGAAATTGCATATGCCATTTGAGATTGGGTCACCGGCTTAATCATGACCTCCTTACCAGCTATGGATAGTAACTGTTCTTCCAATGTTTCACCTTGCTTCGCACGCTGTCCACCAGATACCCAAAAACAGTTTTTCTCCCTTCCCACTTTCATGGGGAGACCAAGATATTTCTCATGGAATCCACACTCTTCATCCCTAGAATCCCTGCTAATTCCTCTCTCTTCTCTGATTTAATGTTTGTACTGAATGAGAGCTCCGATTTGACTAGATTGACATGTTGTCCCGACTCATTCTCATAGAGACTTAGAATTCTCTTCAGTTGTTCACTCTCTTGTCTGGTTGCTCTGGTAAATAGGATGCTATCATCCGCGAAAAGTAAGCTGGAGATACCGGGGCTCCACGTTTAATTTTCAT